CTCCCCCTGCTTGTGTTCCGTCTCTCGCTGTCTCTGTCTGTCAAATAAATAAATAAAATCTAAAAAAAAAAAAAACTTCCAGTGACTAGCCTTGCCCCCCCCGCCCCGCCCCCTCCAGGGAGTCTGGGCCTTCAGCTGAGAGTGAAAAGGCGCCAAGTCAACTTGAAAATGGGCACTAAGCTTGGGAGGAGGGGGCTCTCATTCAAGGATCTCCTCCCACAGAAAGTGCTACCTTAGAGCAAACTTCAATTCTATCTGTGCATCTAAGATGGCAAAGGTCTGGGGAAATAGCATTGTCAGAAAGGAAGGGAACTGGCCGATATGGGGTCTCAAACAAAAGGAGACAGTGAGGCGGGGAGACAAATCCCCAGAGTGAGAGGACTGCATCAGACAGCAGGGACTGAGGCCAATGAACCCCCTAGCCCAAAGTGGGGATCCAAGGAACTCTGTGCTGCAGGATGACCACATTAGTCTTCTTTAAGGGAAGAAACCCCGAAGTTCTTCTGTCCTCAAGTAAACAAATTTCTTTACCATAAACCTTTCCAGAGTCTTTAATGTGCACTGACAATCTCCAAGGGAAGGAATATTTCCCAACCCAAGCTGGCCATGGAAAGCCTTTTGTCTTGGATCATCCATTTACGCTACCTAGAACCACTGTTCACCTTAAAGATAATTAACAGAGCTCTGAAAATGTTGGATGTGATATTGTGAGGACAAACCAGAGCTGGACAGTAGTTAGTGGGAAAAATAGTTTTTATTCAAGAACTACTGCAGAACCATGAGAGACGATGGACTCTGAAAAACAAACTGAGGGTTCTAGAGGGGAGGGGGGTGGGAGGATGGGTTAGCCTGGTGATGGCTATTGAGGAGGGCACATTCTGCATGGAGCACTGGGTGTTATACACAAACAATGAATCATGGAACACTACATCTAAAACTAATGATGTAATGTATGGGGATTAACATAAGAATATTAAAAAAAAAAAAAAGAACTACTGCAATAAAAGGAAAGGAAAGAACCTCAGTGCAGAATTGGGCTCCATTCTGAATACAACGAAGAAAAGTGAAGATTTATAGCTAAGGAGGGAGGGGGTATTTGTGGATGGAAAATTACCAAGACATCCAAGGTTGCAGTCTAGTGTAGAAGGCGGCTCCCAAGCGCCTGGCCCGAGTTTGGCCAAGGAGAGAGCTTCTGTCAGTATCTCTGAATTATTTATCAATCACATGGTTATATGGTAACAATGGGATAGCACTCTTTCCACCTTGCTAGACTTTACTGGTTAATACCCTACTTAGAATCATGGTCTTTTGGGGGACTGTATTAGTTAGGTTTTTGGTGTTACAGTTGCTTTGGCTTCATAAAATCAAGTGGTGAGGTTTTTTGTTTTTGTTGTCTTTTTGTTTTGTTTTTAATATGGCCTAGAATGGTTTTTAGGAAGTTGGGAGTAATTCTTTTCTTTTCTTTTTTTTTAACTTTTTTTTTTTAAGATTTATTTATTCACGAGAGACAGAGAGAGAGAGAGAGAGGCAGAGGCAGAGGGAGAAGCAGGCTCCCCAAGAGAGAGAGAGAGAGAGGCAGAGGCAGAGGGAGAAGCAGGCTCCCCATGGAGCAGGGAGCCCGACGCGGGACTCTATCCCAGGACCCTGGGATCATGACCCGAGCCGAAGGCAGACGCTTAACCGACTGAGCCACCCAGGTTGTCCCTGGGAGTAATTCTTTAAAGCTAGTTAAAAATCCAACTGTTAACAACCTATCTGGCCTGGTGTCTTTTTCACTGGTAAAATTTCAATGATCTTACAGCCTCTCTTGTGGTAACTGGTCTAATTTTTTTAAAAAGATTTTATTTATTTATTTGACAGAGAGAGAGAGCACAAGCAGGTGGAACGGCAGGCAGAGGGGGAGGGAGAAGCAGGCTCCCTGCTGAGCAAGGAGCTCGACGCGGGACTTGATCCCAGGACCCTGAGATCATGACCTAAGCCAAAGGCAGATGCTAAACTGACTGAGCCACAGGCACCCCAACTGGTCTAATTTTTAACTTCTTGGGTCAATTTTGATAACTTGGCCAGGGGAGGGGGGCTAATTTACATCTGTAATATTCTCCTATGATTCTTTTCATCTTAAGTGCTATTCTTAAAAGAGTACTCGGGTCACCAGCCTTCCCTTCTGACCAGTGTCTGACTGATGACAGCCCCCCTCCCTGCCCCCACACCATCCATCTTGTCAGAAAGTGCTAACAGTAGCAAACTGCAGCCTGGTGTAGCATGAAAACACCCCAGCTCAGGACTCAGGAGGCCGCGGCTTCCCTCTTAGCTGGGCACTCATTTGGGCAAGGTGCCTGCAACCCTGCTCTGACTCGGTTTGTTCAAGTACAAAATGACAGACTGGTCCCTTCCCACTCTACACCCTCTAACCCAGACCGTCAGGTGCCCAGGAACAGTCCAGCAGATCTCAGTAAGATGGCTCTACAGAACCGTTAGCACTCGTACCTCCACTAAGTAGGGCAGACTCTTCAGAAGTTCAGTCAAGGTCATGAATCCATATTCACAGGGGTTGAGGGGAGCACTGTGAGTAGTTTCATAATGTCTCTTGAGCTCATCCACAGAAAGGTGGGAGGCTCCTTCCCAAGACATCAGCAACACCAGTAGCTGGGCAGTGAGGGCGCGCAGGGACTTGCGGTTGATCAGCTGAATCTGTTTGCCCGACTCCATGTCAGCAATCTGGGGGAACAAGAGTCCCAGAGTTTCCCAACTCAAGAGCGGCACACTGGGCCACGGCCACCTGACTCAGCTACTATCCTTCGGGCTAGGGAGACCAATAGAGGGAAAACCTCTACTTCCTTCTCTTACTCGTAAGTGAGTGCGTGAGTTTGTTTTCAGCTGCCGTGGGACACCAGAGTGGGAGCTGTACCCTCCCTTTCTGCTGGTCCACAATCAGACAGCCATCGATACCAGCCCTCTCTTAGGGCACTCATTCCACTCCCCTATGGAAGGAGGGAAGACTGGCCGGCCGACATCCAGGGGCCCAAGACCCTGAACTGAAGGTTTCTGCGCTCAAGGCGGGAGTTTGGACTGCAGGTGACGGTCCACAGGGCTGCTCTGCAGACTGACTCACCCCACCTTTGTGTCCCAGAGTAGACTGAAGGCCCACTCTGACTAAAGGCACCCGCACTCCTCTAGTCCATCATCACTAGCCAGCAAGTGGGTATTTTCCTATTTGACTACATGTCTCTCCCTCGCTTCTCGAGGAGATACAGGGTTGGAGTGATGAAGTGCACTGGAAGGGGGACCTTCTGGAAAAGACACAGGTTAGCAATGGGAGACCAAAGAGCATGTGAAGAAACAGGCACGTGCTAACCAAGAGCTGCAGGCCTTGGGCAGAGGAACAAGTCTGTGAACCGAGCCGCCACCGGACTTAAAACAGGCAGAGCTTCAGTATGCGCGTGCTTAGGTGCTGGTACGCAAACCAAGTTTACTGTTACAGAACTGCCCCGTCTGGTTTCCCAGCCAAGACTACAGGTCTCAGTGCCTCAGTAAGGGCTGGGTAATCACAGGCTCGTACTCCCTGGGGCTCTGGGTCCTCAGAGGCAGAGAGGTGAGTAGCACCTGAGAAACCATCACAATCCCAGTGTGTCCCTGGTTTGGACGCTCACCCAGAGCCAAGACAGGAGGTTAGTACATAGGCCCCCCACCCCACTTATCATGGTTACAGATTTGTGGAGATTTCGAGGACAGATTTCCTCTGCAGACGCAGGGTTTAATCAATCAACAGATTCAAGCCTAGGGGAATCCGGGCCATATTCTCAGATGCCCAGACCATTGCTACAACTCCAGCCTTTCAAGGAGAAAAAAATAAAAGCCTGCTCTTTTGATGCTTAGAGACAGCTCCTGATTCTGAACCTACGCTATACGACCGAACCAACTGGGGAGCTTACAAAAAATGCCAACGCTCAGAGCGCACTGGGGCTGATTACATCAGAATCTTGGAGGCAGGGGTGAAGTCCGGGCATCAGCATTTCCCAGAGGCTCCTGGGAGAGGCTGCAGCAGGCAGGGCAGCACACCAGAGCCCCTCCGATCCCTCCCCATGCTGACTGCTGACGCTCCAACTCCCCACTCACCCACCCACGCTCATCAAAATCTCTGGTCACGGCTTAGACCTGCAATCCACTGGAGCCCACCACTGCCTTCACACGCTGGGTGACTGAGCATCCAGGGGGCCTATCCCACCCCGTGGCCTTTCCGTTCCTCACCCACCCCATCTCCAGGCACATCCTCTCCTACTCGATTCCACTGCAGACCCCTGTTCCCAGGTCACACTTGTGATTACCAGCTACCGCCCACTTCCCATGTAGCTCATGCAAACCTCCCACGCAGGCCACACGTGAAAGGAAGCCTGGGGGCAGACGCTGGGGTGGGAGACCGGAAAGAGATTCCAACGATCGGCTCTTCTTAACCCCTTCTCCAGCTTCACCTGCATGGACTCCCATGTCCTCCCAATTCAAGTCCTCTCCCTTCTTCACACGTTCCTCCTTCATCCACCTTGGCGCTGATGGGCCATTAATTCATTGCCTTTCTGGTCATATTCTGGAAGCTCCCTTGTCCCTGTGTCTTTTCTTTGCACTATCTGGCAAACTCCCACCTTCAGCCCAACTGTCTGCTTCCCCTGCACCTGCACCAAAGCAGCCCTGCACCACTGAGCGTCCCCACGGTAGCGCCACGGGCCCTGCCATCCCCCTGCGGAGCTCCCCCTACTCCTAGCACCCTGCCTGAGGTCCCAGCGGGTCCCACGCACCACGGTGGCCACTTCAATTGTGAATCCTGTCTCCTTCAGGTACCTCCCTCCTCTTCCCAGGGAGGAACATCAAACTTACTGCCTCCACCCTCCACTCCCTCCCTTTGGTCACAGAACGAATATCAGGGCTGTGCCTCCTTCCGCTGAACGCCGATTCCCAGGCCTGCCTCCTCAGGACCCCCACCCCGCCACCCCGTCTCGCCTTTGGGTATTTATCTTCTCTTCCCCTGTGGCTCTCACACATGCTCAAGTCTCTCCACTGGGAGCAAAGCAGCCACCAGAAAGCGCACTGGTCCACTCCGTCCCGCGGTCTCCTCTCACCATGCTCTCTCCTCCCTCACAAGCACACAAGCCGAAAAGCTGTCTGCAGGACTGGTCACCATTGTCATGTCCCACTCCTCCTGCCTCAACCCACTCCGTGTGCCTTTCTTTGGTCCCCACACACTGATGCTGACGCCGTCTTGGCCAGCAACCCTAAGCTCCCCCCCACCTTAGCTAGGCCTGCAGGTCACGCTAGTCCCTGCCTCACCCGTCCTCCCAGCAGGCGGCACCGGGACTGCGCCACACTCCTAGTGTCCTTCCTGCTCTCCGGCAGCTCCTTCTCGGTCTCCTGTGGAGGTTCTTCTCCCTTTAACCAGACAGTACATAACTGGATTCCTTCCAGATCTGTACCTGGGGCTGCCCCCACTAGGTACATTTTCCCTTTCACTTCTCCCTCCTTATAGTGAGTTTTCTTGGTCCCGTGCAGGAGGCAGCTTGAAACGGTCCAGCTGCTCTACCTGGGACGGGGAGGGTCAGCTCAGCCCAGGGCAGGATGAGGAAGTTAGCCTCCCCGACCTCCTGTTAACAGCAACAAAGACAGCTGTGAGCCTAGCCTGCTCCTGAATCTACTCAAGTCTGTCAGAATCTGGGAGGGGCAAGAGATCTGTGATTATAGTCTCCCCACAACTTCAGAGACCACAGTCCGCTTAGATGGCTACTCCTGAGAAGAAACACCCTCGGATAAAACAGAGACCTCATCGGCTCAAAGGGACATTACTTTGGCAAGGCCTCTAAGAAACACACAAGGGCAAGTGCAGAACTCTTACCTGCCAAACCAGAGTCAGCTCCTGCTACCTAGTAACGTATTAATGGCATATGAAGCACGTGCAGTGAAGCGGTGACTAGTGCCAGGGGTGAACGAGGAAATGCTAAGCACAGGTAAACACCCCGGGGAAGATGCTGCCGCCATGTTTTCATCCATGAAAGTAAAAATCTGCTCACCTTTACCACATGGCAGAGTTTCTGTGTTAAAGCCGAAATTGAACTGACATCGTAGTCTTGGAGACGAAATGTGTAACCAAAAGTTTTAGCATATTCCGTAAGCAGATCTGTCATCATAAGGCAGTTATCTTTTTGGGACCGAAGGAGTTTGACAAACTGGGCAGCCAAAGCTTTGAATCGTTCCACCTCTGTCAAAGTGAGGATCTTTTCTTCTCCACATTCCAATACCTTGGAAAACACACAGGAGGAGGAAGGCGAGAGTGAACAAGTTGGGATTATTCATGGAATTCAACAGCATATAAACATATACACTTAATAACTAGGAAGCACTCTGGTGTTCTTTCATGGATATAAAGCTTCAGTTTCGCAAGATTTTAATACTACTGAAATGCACACTTAAAAAAGGGTTAACCAGGTAATGTGTATTTTATCACACATGAGAAAAATTTTAAAAGCACTTTAAGGATCAAAAATAGTAATGCTAATAAAATTAACAACAGAAATCTGGTTCAACTTCACAGTGGCTTAACAGCTAAGCATTCGAATCACCTCATATACTCATCCCCACTGCCAACCTAAGAGATTTGAAAAGTATGGCGCTAATGGAAGAATATTCCATTTAAGAAATCGAACTATTTAATCTTTTTTTTCAATAATTACCCTGAAACAAATTTGAAGGACGATTTCTTTCTTTACTGAAGGAAAAAAAACCCCACACTTACCTAAAAATACTAATGAGCCAACAACCTAGCTTCTCTGATCAAAATGTTTAAGGTTTTCCTCCTATTTCCTAACTCACTACTTCCCAGGAAAAATAGGCCTGGAAAAGAAAAAGTCCCCCCCCCACATTGTTCAGAAAAATATAACTGGAATCTCTTCACTCACTTGTAAAATATCAGGTATGGCTTCAAAAAGTTCAAGTAGTTTGGTGAACCCGTAGTATGCGAGTTTGCACTGCCGGCCAAAGTGGTGGTGGTAGGAAGGGATAAATTTGTTAAAGGGCATCCGGAAGTGTGGCTGGTGCCGTAGCAAATCAACAACATCCTTGGAGAACTGCTTTGTCCTTTCTATTTCATCCTGGGTACGCTCTTACAAAAGAAAAAATAAAAAAATAAATCACAGTCTTCTTCCCTTCATTTGGATTGCTGGATTAGTCCTATGCACAGATGACAAGAAATAACCATCTTTGCCTTCCAAACACCCACAACCTAAAACAAACAGGTTCGTGTTCTCTCTGTGCAGAATGGTTTTCAAACTCTCTTGAGGGCACACCACCAGGAAGCTAGGAGACTATTATGGTATACTGTGAAAGACACATACACACCCATGTCATTTGGCCCTGCAAGCTGGACGTATTTTCTCTAGCTCCCCGTCCCCCACCCCTATCCCGTATATATGAGCATGACACATATCCAGCTCTCTGTACTTGAAAAAGTAACCTAGACATTATTTCTATAAAACTGCATTTCTGAATAGCCACATGCTTTTTGTGTCTTCTTCTGATCTTCAGTTAAAATTGCTAGCAGAAGAGAGTACAGGCAACAAAAGTTTAACAAAAATACAGGGGAGAAAAAGCTTCAACTTTAATTTTTGTTTCTATTAATTTTTAAATGAAAATCGGAAAACACATTACTCCAAAAGCTTTGGAGTATTATGATTTCATGAACGTCAGCATTCTGCAGGAACACAAGTTAAGAAGCACTGATTAATGATACTGGGAGAACAGGACAGTAGGTAGATGTAATTTTACCCATCTCAGCTCCCAGACCTCAACCGGAATGACCGAAATGTGAAAGATAAAACAAAACATTTGCGGGCGCCTGGGTGGCTCAGTTGGTTAAGCGACTGCCTTCGGCTCAGGCCATGATCCTGGAGTCCCAGGATCGAGTCCCACATCGGGCTCCCTGCTCGGCAGGGAGGCTGCTTGTCCCTCTGACCCTCCCCCCTCTCATGCTCTCTCTCAAATAAATAAAATCTTTAAAAAAAAAAAAACATTTGCTTGGATCTTCTTCCTTCTCAAGAATGCACAGTCAAGTAGCTCAGTTAAAGAGAAGAGACAAGCAACAGCCATGGTAACTGACTCTCAGCTGGATAATTATGGTGACAACAGCCACAGACAGGCTGAAGAAGGCATTTCAAGAAAGTGCTGCTTATGCCCTTCTTCTCCTTACAGTGAATCCTAAAAAACCAGTTTGCTTTTCTTGTTGGCAAGTCGCTGCAGCTGCTCTGAAGAACCTCAGATCCACTGCACAGCGATAGTTCTCACAATGCACTTTCCATGGCATCTTCAGGAACCATGGAGGTGGCGGAAAGGACACAGGAGTCCATGTTAATAAGGTAAACACTGAGATACGCAACTGTCTTCCAGCATATTTAAGTCAACATACCTCTCTTGGGGATACAAATCACCATTTCATTATCTTGTTGGGACAAGCAGATGGTTGTGTCTGGTATCTCTGACACAATATCGATCAACTCACAAACACCGTATTCGGTGACATCCCAGTCTTTTGAGAAACACCTAGAATTTAACCAGGAAAATGGGTGAAGAATGAGAAATGTCCCTTGCTAAATTAACTTTTAAGTCTTCCTTAAAAATGCTAAGTAGAAAACATCAGATAATGATTTTAAATTTGTGGGGAAAAAAAGTGTTTCGAAATATTTGCTTTCCTTTTTTTCCCCCTTCTCATCAACTCACCAATGATAAGCCTGTGAGAACTCCCTTACAATGACCTGTTTGCTGGCTTGGGATTTGAGAAGTTTTAGTAAATCCTGAGTAAAGCGCTTCACCTGGGCCCTGTGGGTAAGGGTCAACAAACGTTTGGAGCCCATTCCGAGAATCTGCAAATCAAACACTTCGATTATTTATACTTGTCAGACCTTGGCACGTACTGACTCTCTGGCTGATGGCATTCTCTCTCTCTCCTGTTACTGCTCTCAGAGAACAAGTCCTTTTATACATGGTATCTGCATTTTCAAACGCATGAAGATCAACGGAACGTAGATGGTCAAAATGAACAACTGCTCAAGTGCCTGGGACCCCCACCCCCTTTTTGTTTGCCCTTTATATCCCTTCTCAAATAGTCCTGAGTATAGAAATAAAAAGCATATTATTAATCTGGGCAACTAATTTTGTCTACAAAGGACAGCTAAGGTGTTCCAGGCCATTTTGTAAGTGGGAAGCTGTTTTATAGGTAAGAAGCTATAGAACACTCTAAATTAATAGGGCAAAGACTCCTTAGGAACCAATGCTAGGCCCCAGCCCAGGAGCTGGTCTTTAACTCATTGATGAGAGCTAAGCCTGTGTTCATGGCAGCTCCTCTGTAAGAGTGAACAATCCTGGAGAGGCCTGGGCTAGGAAGAGGAAGGTGAGTCTACAGAGATTAGAAGGAAAATACTCCTCAGTGCTCTAAGGGGTTCCTTCTTTATGTCTAAACTCACAGTTTTCTAGAAAAACTGAGATGCCACCTTGAATGAGGTTACCAGCTATCCTGTTTCCTGGAAGGAGCCAAAGCCACGGAGGAACATTCCCGTCCTTAAACAAGTAATCCTTAAGCTTTCCTTACCTGCAATACATGAGGCACGGCTTCCAATAATTCTATCAGCTTGGAATATCCATAGTCTGATACCCGACACTGCTTTGCAAAGTGGTGGTGGTAGGACGGGATGAAGTTACTAATGGGGATGACACAGGACGGTTGGCTCCTCAGCAGGTCAATCACTTCCCTGCTGAACTGGATCAGCTGGGGGTTGCCCACAGGACTTTTAGAACGCAGAAGCCAAGGGTCTAGACGGGGGAGAAAAACGGAACATGCCTAAGATAGGATTTCACCCCTAAAAGAAAGTTAACTAACGTCACCCTCCCTCGCCTGAGCTCAACCATGACCAAGGAGATGAGACCAAAGGGCTGCTTTACTTCTCAGTGTCTATACTCAGGTCCCATATAATCTACAGGCTAGCCCAACTTCTTTATGGGCTGGCAGATGCTTTACTACTACTTCTCAAAGTCCTGTAGTCAAAGTAAAGCATACTTCAGCAGTGTTAAAGCAGAAGTGATATTACACAGGACGTTTGCAGCTTATAAACTGGTTGTATTTCAAAGATTCATTTGTAACTTGGTCCCATGGAACATACTTTCCCACAGAAACAAAGTTATAGATGGGCAGCAAGCAGGTAGCCCAAAAAAGCCTAACAAACCCATAGGGAAGCTGAAAACATTGCTCAGGGAACCATGGAAAGCGGTAACATAAAACTAGCTGATATAAAACTAAGAAAGAGGTTCTTGCATTTATCTTGAATGTCCATGTAATCAAGAAAAAGTTTTAATTATGAAAGTATAATCGGATGGAAACCTTTCTACAAGACTGGCAGGCTAACGAGAAAGGAAAAAGAGCACAAGTATATAGGAGCCTGTGTGGCCTAGGACTGAGGGGAAAGGCAGGAGAAAGTGGTACGCAGCTCTGATACAAACATTTTTCCTTCCCTGGTAATCCTTACCTTTCTTCCCATAGAGGGAGGAGCAAAGGAGGAAGTGTTTGGGGTCAAAGAGAAGGACATACCCATAGGAAGGCAACAATTTTCAGTGCTGTTCACAGGTGGCGGGGTTAGACACCTGCAGCCCAGGGGAGGCCCAGAACTCAGAAACTCACCCAAAGCTAGGTTTACATTGCCTGGTCCTTTACACTGGGAGCTAAATCTGTTTTCATATTTATCAAAGTCAGAAACGTTGACCAAAATGAATTTCAAAGGTAAAACTGCCATTTAGAGGTATTTCTTTCAAATATGTGAAACGATTTTTAAAAGGCCAGTCAACTGACAAGCCAAAAAGCTTCACGAAATTAGGCAGGGCTAAAGATATTGTAACTGTGAAATGTGGGTTTTAAATTTCTTTACAGAATTTATGCTGGTCCTTGCAAAAAGTCTGGTTCTGACAGATCTTCAGCACTTCAGAGAGTAGTTGCAGTTTTTAAAAGGTCAAAGGAGACATTCACGGTGCTTTGCGCTTGGCAAACAGTGTTGCCGTACAACATAAAAGCCAGCAGGCTCCTCTCACGGTAGCCAGTGGCTCAGAAAAACCGAAAGCCTGACTCCTACCCGTGTTGGGAGGCGGGGGCTTGTTGTGAATCCATTTGACCACTTTGACGCCATTCTGTGCAGTGGCAATGTTGACACCTGGAACACAGGTGATGAGGTGTTCCAAGGGAACACCCCCTTGAGTCTCCTGCACTACTTCCAGTTCACCAAACTCAGCAGCGTAACAATCTGGAAAGCTGAAGTGGGGGAAAAGAAGGCTAATCAAAATAATGGAAAAGCAAAGCACCTGCTAAACAGAAATCTTTAATAAATTCATAAACCATTTCTCCTTAAATCCTCAGGATCTGGGTTTGAACGTGAAAATTCAGGTCCCAGGGAGGGGGGAGGCCATCACTGCGGCATTGACCTCTTTGATGCATTCTGAGGATACCAGAAATACCTGGACAATGTTCCAGCAGAGGGTGTGAGAAACAAGGCAACTGGGTTCCAAGCCAGTTATTTACCTGCTTAAGGTATCAATGGCTTTAGGGCAAACTTTGTCCCGTGCCGGCCCCTATATTAAGTGTACCGCGTGGCCCACGGGATGATTACATGGCCTTCTGAAGACCACCTCTCTCTCAAGCTTTATAATCTACTGCTTGAGGTTCTGTACACCCTTGCAGCATGCATGCATACGTCTAGCACAGCGTTTACACTAATCTCATCTCTGTGGGGAAGAAACGTTCCTATTCGTTGCTTACATTTCTAAAAATCAGCACACACACAAATTTTTTTCCCATTTCGGATATACTTTGACTGCACGGTGCTAAAAATGTTAGGATGAAGCATTCTATAATACTCGCTTGGGAAGAGGTGTGGGCAGAGGGCAGACTTTCTAGAAAGAGGAGAACCAAGGCATCATATCTCAATGGCTTTGACATGTTCACCTTAATAAAGGCACAGTGCCCTCGTGAGTCTGCAGAAGACTATGAACCTGGGGCGCAAATGTCTTCAACGAGAGAATCACAAAAGGAATCTTATAGGAGTCTGGATCAAATTCATGCTCACTACAGAAAAGAGAACACAACAGTTAGCTGACTTTTCTCCGTGGTCTAAAACATTTGCAAGGTAACTGTAACAGATATTCCATCACCTTATACAAAAGGATGATTTCTAAAGGGAAATGAGTGTTATACCTGAAGTCCTTATTGGAACAATGCTGTCTGCAGACAGGCTCATGATATTCTAACTCTTCAAATATAATTGGGCTGCAATTCGTCGAGGAGCCATCATGTGACTGGGAAGACCCCAAGGGGCTCTGCCGGGCCTGACTGCTCGGTAGGAGACACACCAGTCTGCCATTCCCTTGTTCACGGATTGCGACCGTGTCTGTTAATTTATATAAATCCGACACATTCAACTTGTGTCCAAACCTAAAAGCGAGGAAAAGGAGAGACAGGCTGATTTAGAATGTTTTTCTTTGATTATACAGCAATGCCTATGTATCTGATGAAATAAAGGGCTATTGCCAAGAATGGTTCCTCTGTCTCTTCAAAAGTAAAACTGGAATAATTCTACTATAAATTCATTCACTACCAACCCAGTAATGCTTGGCACTTCTTCGAGTCACCTCTGGCTCACTGCCCATTAGTCACTATGTCATTTGGTACTTATTCCTCGAACCCTGCAGTTTCTGTAAATGATCTCACCTAATTTTCTGAGATGGAAAGCTATCTGATAATGACCTCTTTCAACCTGGCTCCCCCAAGCTGGAAATCCCTCTGTATTACCTACCCCTCACCATGTCTGCTCTCCTCCCTCAGAAGAGGTGTAGTTCTTTCCAGCTACTCCCTCACCTCATCTATGCCTCAACCTCATGACCCACACTCCCCGAGGCTCAACTCCTCAATCATCCCCCCGACGCAGGTCTTTCACACTTGGAGCTTAAAGCCACAAGGGGTGCCTGGGTGGCTCAGTAGGTTGAGTGTCTGCCTTCAGCTCAGGTCGTGATCCTGGGCTCCCTGCTTAGTGGGGAGCCTGCTTCTCCCTCTCCCTCTGCCTGCCGCTCCCCCTGCTCGTGCTCTCTCAAAAAAGAAAAGAAAAGAAAAGAAAAAAAAAGGCACAGGGTCAGAAGGCAGACATGTTTGAGTTCACATCCTAACTCAACCTGTGTGGCCTTAGTCACCTTCTAGAACCAATCCAGGCCTCAGCTTTCCCAAATGCAAAATGAGAATATAATACCTACCTCACAGGGTTGATACGAGGATTAAATGTTATGTCTGGAAAAAGCTTGGCACACATTAAGCGCACATTCAACATTAGCCGTTCCAGTGGTTTCTTCCCAGGGCCCCACACTGATACTCACACGTCCCCCTGACCAAACGCAGTCTCACGCCCTCGCCCTCACTCATGTTGTCTGCCCCTGCACACATACACCCCTGGTGCTCTCACTCAGTCCTGTAACCTCGTCGTGCCTCTAATGGAAACGCTGCTCTCTCGGGAGCTGCTCTGCCATTTCACCATCCAGTCTGTCAGCCTGTTCCCCCCAGGATTTTATCCACAGGACTCTGTAGGGATGGCTCTCAAGTCACCAGCAGCCTCCTCCTCCCTGCCAAATATCTCGCACCATCCCCACATGTCCTGATGTCACCCTCACCTCTGGGTTCTCTCCCACTTCCCGTCCCTGGTGGCATTTCATCCAGTTCTGCCTTTCTCTGGGTTCCCTCTCCCTCCCTATCTGCTCCCCTGTCTTTCATGATCCCCTTTAGGAAAATAACTGCCACAACTCTGTATCTCAAGTGTCCAAAACCAAGGTCAAAAATTCACTGTACCTCCCAAACATGCTTTATTTCTCCATTTCTGGTTTAACCATACAACCATCCTCCCAGTCATCTGGGGCAAAAAAACTCAGAATCAAAATGACCTCTACTGTTTACCTTGCCGGCTGCATAAAACTAGTCACCAAGTCCTGTCTCACTGACGACTCAAACTTGGGTGTTCCAACAGCATCTGCCCAGGCCTGGGGACTGGTGTGGCACTGTCCCTCATCTCCCTCCCTGCCCTGTCCATCCCATCGCAGATGGAACCATCACCAGAAAAATCTTCCTGAAGCATGGTTCCCGCCACCACACCTCCCCTCTCCCTCCTCGACTCAGGGCTCCCACGGTTCACAGAGTAATAGTCCCAATCCTTGTTCCTTCTATCCTCATAGCAGTTTCTCCTCCCTGCTCCTCCTTTAGGACAGTTTTCTTGGTTCTATAATGATCTGTGAGTGTCTTCTCTTCCCTTCTAGACATAAGCTCCTCAGGGACAAGGGTTGTGTCCTCTCAGCTCTGTGTTCCACACAGAGCCTGACACTTTCATTCCACTGATACTTGCTGAGCACCTACTAAGCCCTGGGCACTGAAGAGACTGTCCTAAGTCCTTGTTGTCCTGGGGCTTACAGTCTAGAAGGTGCTCAAAAATGTTCACTCAATGAAGAACAAAACTCATCGATCAATTGGAAAAAAAATGAAAGTACAGCTTTAGGGACTGAGGTCTAAATTTAGTAAAAATGGAAGTTGTTATGTTAAAATCGAAATCTGGTTCTGAATCTGCATACCATTGCTTTTATGTCTTTTCCTCCACAAGGCTGTAAATTCCTTAAGACTAGCTACGACAGCTTTATGCCAGTCACTAATCAATACAGGAATTGTGGAAGCTGCCGATCAGTATTGACTGGATCAATGAGGAAAAAAAATAAATCTAACTTACTTTTTTTCATAGAGATCTGTAAATTTAAAAAGAGGCAGACAGCAGGCAGGAGCATCCTGAAGAATAGACATTGTTTCTGAACTGTAAAACAAAATGGCACTCAATCAGAGAACAGATGTCGTTGGACATCAACAGATGATTTCCAAGTTGTATTTAAAAAACTGAGCTCATAAAATTAACACAAAGTACAGCTGACTCTTGAACAACATGTGTTTGAACTTCACGAATCTGCGTACATGTGGATTTCTTTTGATTGAAGCAGTACAGTTCCGTAAATGTATGTTCTCTTCCTTATGATTTTAGTAACATTTTCTTCCTTCTTATTTTTTTGTAAAAATACAGTATATAACACATATAACATACAAAACAGGGATTAATCCATTGTTTATATGAGTAGTAAGGCTTCTGGTGAACAGTAATTCAATTAATAGTTAAGATTTTGGGAGCCAAAAGTTATGTGCAGATTGCTGACTGCATGGGGAGGGGGTCGACACCTCTAACCCCTGTTATTCAATGGTCCGTGCAACATAAATTTACCAGTTTCTGATATGTCAAAATTAATTTTCTGGAAAAACTTAAAGAAATTACTTTAGGGACAAGGTGATTAAAGAATATAAAGTCAAGACACCCTGGGATTTTTACCAAACTCAAGCATAGGGCTTCTCACACCTGTGTCTCAGAAGAACACTGACTACTCTATGAGACAAACACCTTGTTAACTCAGAGCAAAAAGCAGAACAGCTTGAATGTCTCCTGCCACGTTGTGGTTCATGTGGTTCATGAATTCCACATGGGTGTGGAGTTCCCATAGTTGAGGATACGAAACTGAATACAATATATCATTCCAACTATGGTTTTAAAAAAACAAAAAGGCAGCCAAAAACACTCAGAGGGAAAACAAAAGGCAAACTGTTGAGTGACTGGCTTTGAGCCACAGGATTATGGATTTCTCCCCCTCTTCTTTCATGTTTCTGACCTTTCTGAAGTTTCTTCAGTGAGTATTACTTTTATCCTAGGGGATAAAAACCATAATTTAAAATAATGGTGAAGTACATGTCACAGAAAAAGACCTCTGAGAATTCAAACAGATTTTTAGGAGTGAGTTCTGTTTTACTAGTTTCCCCCAAAACAGGGAGAGCCGAAGAATCACCAAAGCGCATTAAGAATAAAATCATCACCAGATTCCTACAATTGACATAATCATAATGCAGACTTACGGAGTGTCTATTTGATGTTAAGGATCTATCTGCACGTTGAGAGCTTGGAGCTTTGTAGATCTACCCTTTACAGACAAACCTACCTTCTCCTAAGATTTGGAGGTAGTATTTCAGACTTTCCAGGCTTATAAACTTTTACCATAGAGGGCTATTTTTAGAACCTGTTCTGGATATGTGGTGTATTATTTTACTCCTAACTGCCTGCCAAGTTTAAGCTGTACCTCCCCTTTGAGGAATGACTTGAACAAGAGTCGAATTATTCTAACTAGCTTATTGCTAACTTCTAACTTATTTGTAAGCTCTACCAATTAAGAGTAAGCACTATTGCATACGTAAGCATCTAAGAGGGTTGGGAGAGTGATCAAATCTATTTTCTTATTTCCAAAGTTATTTCTGGGCCAAAATGTTATTTCCTGAAATAAATGGTTTGTTTTTACCTCAGTAAAGAGAGTGATTTATTAGCAGCTCCTGTGGCAAGTGAGACCAGGATCTTCTTGCTGCCAATTTTGTATCTGTGGAGGCTATTCACCGCACTGATTGCTTCTTGTAAGTTCTCCATCTGAACAACAGCCTTGAGCTGATAATCTGTATGGGGGCTGAGCTCAACACTCTTCACCTACAGCAGTAAAAAGGAAAATGGAATGCTATGTCTACCCAGAACCCTGTCATCTTAAAACTGAAGGTGAATCATTAGGGAACACGTTTGCAGACTTCCGTGCTTCTGTGAGGGAACTTGTCCGAACTCTACACTTCTGCCAAGCAAAACCTAAGTGAACTAGAACTGGGTGACCTTCAGGAATATGAAACTGGCCCGGCCTGCCTGCATGCTCTGGCACACACAGCACTCCCATGTAGGCTCAGGAGCCAATACATGTGAGGAGTCTTTGGGGTCTTCTCTGGACCCTGCAAACACCTGGGGGCATAGCCATTTTAATAATCTGGAAAAGGTGCACTTCTAGCAAACAGCACCTAAAAACTGCATCAATACAGTAAGATGTTAACAAAAACAGCCAACATTACTTTAGAATCCTATTTCTGTATTTTAGCAGCCAGAGCTAAATAAAATCCATCTGCGTTTTATTTCCCAAAGTGCCACTTATTTCCCTGCCCATGACCATAAGTGCTTCTCCACTAGGTCTCTTGCTCTCTGGGGCTTTGTCCTAAAAACTGGATGTACAGTATCACCATGAGCAGACCAAAGGAAAAAGGATGGAGTTCAAACTCATTCAGTAATCCTTATATCCTGGCTGTGGTTATGTGTGTTGAATGACATTCTCTTGAGTTGGAGTGCTAGCAAAGGGTAAAAGAAAGGCAGGAACAAGAGAGAAAAGGTTACCTTGCCGTGCCTAGAAAACGCTTCCTGCATGAGCTGCTGCAGCTCCTTCCGGGATAATCTGTAGTCGATGTTGCTGATCTGGATGTCAGCACCATTTGCAAATGGGTCTGGGCTGTCGGCACCAATGCTTGGATTTGCAATGTTGAAAGCAAGCGGGGACGCTCTGTTTAAAAGGTTTGGAGACATACTCCTGCTTAAGACATACATGTTAAATTATTTTTAAAAACTGTGATTCTATTTATTTAGTTTGTATCATTTAGGCTTTGCTCAAAGCTATATATAGAAACAACTTTCCACAATACAACCAAACTAAATATTTGGTTTTCAAATGTATATTTATTTTAAATATACACGGATTTAGATTTATTGTCAAAGTACTACCTGTTGATCCCTATTAACAACCAGTACATGATTTAATATCAAATATTCTTTCACTGGATTATTTAAAACTAAAGACAAAAATTATAGGTGGGCCTAATGAATTAATTTTCCACTTTGGGTATTTATTCTTGGTTAATTAGCCTGTGATATTCATGTAAGTCATTTAACCTCTCCCTGGCTCTGAAAATGCTAGATATTCTTGCTCATGTGTTAATAGTCTTTCTCCAGATCAGGAAAACTTTCACGTGAATTTTAAAATGTAACTTTATAGATCTAAAGTCACTTTCTGGAGCGAGTCTTCACCAACTCAGCAAAAAAATACAATGCTTGAAAGAGTTCACGTGATGCAACGTGGCCTTATGCCTCCTGTCCTCCAGGCCCCCAGAAGTACTCAGTATGAATTTGGAGAACTTAGGTAAGTGTTACTTAGGTAATTACAGTGGTTTACAGAGACCCTTGCTTTTCAAACAGCTCCTGGTAATTACCCTAGGAATAAGAATAACCAATGCGTGTCCAGTGTGGGCTGTTTCCACAACATGACGAAGTGAGGAGGACTCAAGTAAGGACATGTTAACGTGCCTCCCATCCAGGCCAGGGACTCCTAGACAAGTTTCTCTGACCTCTGCCTACCCAGATTCCCACATGCAGGAGGGAGCAATGGTGAGAAGCACTGCCCCCAAACGCTAGCTAAGATTAACCGAGGAAAAGGGAGGCTGGAGGAGGAGGGGTGGAAGACTCATCGTTTACTTTATGTACCCCTGTATTGCTTGCATTCTTTTAAACAGATGCTATTTCGTAATCCCTCCTATTGCAGGTAACTACCCCCATGACCAAAAAGCTAGACTCACCGAGAAGACCATGACTGTGCAGTGAGCAGAGGACTGACTTGCCTTGATGCGATCAACTTGCTAAAAGCCGATGGGTAACTCACTTGGAACGGGGTCTCCTCTTTATCTTTTTTCTCTATGGGAGAACTGGTGACACTTCGGGCACAGAGGTTCTCTTTTCTAATGGAGAGAAAAAGTGACGGGGAAGGGTCACTGGATTTCCTTCACATTAGACAATCATCTGTGAGAAAGAGTAATCGAACCTACTTCGGATTGGTTTTGTAAGCAGACTCTGCTGTCCCCGAGTTTTTAGGTGCAGGCGCCGCAGCACTCAAGCTTCTATGAAGAGGTGCCGCCAGCCTCGGGTTACCTTGCTGGGAGTCACTGTTTCTAGGCCCAGTCTTCGACTCCATGCGGCACAGCTCCTTAAAAGAGACAAGCGCGGCGGAGGTGAAAACGTAAGTACCCAACGTGTCTTAAACCCTGTCCAGGAAACATGGAACTCTGAGTATGGTCAAAAATGGAAATAAAAAAGGACATGCCAAAAGCAAGCAGGCATATCAAACACAGACACAAAGAAACCAAACCTACCATAAACTTCAGAAAGCAAGAGGTATCAAAGTTACCTGTAAACTTTTAACATTTGTGTTTTTTGTAGTAGATCCAGAATTTGCCTGCGACCCTTTTCCAGGCGTGGCTTTGGCACTGGAAGATTGTTCACTTGTATCTTTGATGAGGCACAATTTTGGATTCTTAAGTTTTTTGGGAGACTTCGCTTTATCGGCAATTGCACTGGAACTCTTTGTCTCACAGAGTTCTCTAGTTTTTGGAGTAAATGACACAATGATCCTATTACCAAAGACATCTTCATTTTCCATTCGCTTCTGAGCCCGTTCCGCACTATCTTGGTTTATGAAGCGGAGAATCGCACTGCAGCCTGTGATACTCAGCACTTTCCCACCACAATTATCAGACAGGCGCCTGAGCCTGTTGCTGATGCTCTTGCCATCTTTATTTGCTGGTAGGTTATAAACATAGAGCAGAGTGTGGCACTGCTGATACAGAGGAGAAGTGTTACAACAGGTTAACTCAGGGGCACACGTTCAATTACACAATTAGAACAAGGAGTGATCTCCAGACTGAAGCTAACAGCCTTAGCCTTGGAGGGGAGGTAACAATGATGTAGAGGGGAGAAGGTAAACTTACTTAGACTGAAAAACACAGAAAGAGAGAAATATATCTTAAATGATCATTCTAGTGAATGAGAATGGCAAGATTTAAAGTTCTGAATAATCTTTTTTTTTTTTTACCATAAAGAATAAGGATCTCAAAAGTGGACAATGTTACCTGAAATACTACAACTGACTTAAAGTCCTTTAACGTTAGAAAAGGAAATGCCAATTTCTTCAGGAGTCACATATATATTCTCCAAATAGCTTAAAAACAGCTCAACACTGTCGTAAACATGCTTGTCCCAAATCAAGACCTTAAGAAATGCTCACCCTGCTGGAAATATGCTCACGTTCTCCTAGCATGTGGCTCAACGAGCTACAGCTGAAGCAATAATCACTACAAAATGTGCAAGTGCACGTGCATGGTGGGAAATGAAACTGTAGTAAACAGGCCCAGGGGTTTCTGGGGCTTAAGGATTAAATGCCTAAAAAGTGTACAATTAGAGGCACCTGGGTGGCTCAGTTGATTAAGCCTCCAATTCTTAGGTTTCAGCTCAGGTCACAATCTTGGGGTCATGGAATCGAGCCCCATGTCGGGCTCCACATTGAGCACGGCATCTGCTTGAGATTCTCTCTCTCCCTCTGTCCTTCCCCCTGCTCGCTCGCATGTGTGCTCTCTTAAATAAATAAATCTTAAAAAAAAAAAGTGTATAATTTCTCTGTTTATTTGACTGCAACCACGAGTGTGTGCAAACCATCCTTATATTCTTTACCCATGCCTGGAAGCAAAAGGAGTATAAATGTTTCCATTACTTCCATCCACTGGACACAGAACACTGCTAGCTTTGGAGACACTGACAAGTGGCTATTGGTAAGGTTAACCTACACATCAATTCCCTATGATACTGTGCAACAAAATAAAAGCAAAATCCATACATATCAATTCTCTGTGTATTTGTAAGAGAAGAACTATTTCTAAGCCTTATTTCAAAACTCTGGCCAGCCTCCTACAAAGAGCAGCCTCACTTGGTGGCCCCTGTTATGGGTGGTCTTAAGCCTCCATAATGTAACATCAGAATACAGCAAAAAAGAACACAAACCCACTTACTGGCATTTTTAGTGGTAACCTGGGAGGCAGGTCAGAAATGAACTCTTCGAATCTGATCAGCTCATTGGCATGATGCAGCAGTGCTTCTGAGGCCTGGTTTTTATGGACCAAAATTATGTGGAAACCATGCCTGTGTCTCAGGTCACTGAGTTCCAATGCAAAATTGACATCAGCTGAAAGAAAAGGTACAGCCCACCCCCGTCCCCAAACATTAGATGGACTGGACAGAGACACACAACTCCACTGACACCCACTGAGAAAAAAAGAAATGGCTGGACTATAGTATTCAGAGTTGCTCCCCACCTCCTACCCCCTTCTTCTTAGAACAGGAACACATTCCATATCAGAAGAATTAACACCACAAGACAATTTTACCACATACTTATACTGAATTCCAAGACACATGTTACTTCTCGTAGAAGAGAAGAAATATTAACATTTTGGGGAGCATCAACTTTGGAAATGATTCTTCTTAGATTATTAAAATTTGCAATACTGGGCCCAGGGTTAAAAAAAAAAAAGTCACATTTTTCTTTAACTGGCCCCACAAGAATCTGCACTCACATTCTAAGGAGAAAATACACAAAACCCACACAGACTCCATTTCTTCTCTAAACAGCTCTCAGACATAAGCATAAATATGTCCTGTGTATTTCAGCCTCTCTGGAGGCATATTTTATTTAAACATGTTCTGGCTTCTGTAACAATTCCCATACAGTGAGTTTAGTGGAAATTAGCAGACGCTTCTGCACTTACTTGACACAAGAACCACAGTGGCCGGAGCAGTGTGCGTGTTCGCGAACCTTCGGAGACTCTGGCGGAGCTTATCGTCAGCCGCGTTCTTTGCTGTAGCATTGATGTGGGCAACGGTTACCTGCGTTAAAGTAAGGACAAATGAGCAAGAGCTGAGGTCAGAAAAACCACTATGCATTCTGCCTGCATCTTAACAGATGGTCCCTGAGGAAAGACACTCTTGTTATTACTGCCACTTAGGAATGGAAAAAAATTATAAGTGGATCTCAATAATTTCAAATTTGTCTCTCCGTACAAATGAGCTAGACCCATTATTATCCCTTCTCGCCTCTCTAATCTTCTGCTTTTGTACTTCGTCCATCTGCCTTTGAGAAAACAGGCAGAAAAGGAAGTGAAATTTGAAGTAGGTAAATTAGCTCTAATAGCTTTGCCAACAGCTGGGGAAGTAGCAGAGACTGGTATATGATGAAGGTAAGATTCAGCGCTGTATTTGATGTCATTTGTCTCCACTATACATTGTCTGTGGCTTCCAGGATCTGGGATCAGGTGGTGGGAGAGGAGAGGCATCTGTCCCCAACAGAGTTAAAATGTGTTTATTTCTGTTAAAGCCCTCAGGCTTACACAGAAGTCTCCAGAGCAAGGAAAGGTTTTGAGAGGTGCTTCAACTACGTGCAATACACAATAAGATTTATTCATTTTTTAAGAAGCACAAATATAGAATTTTAGGCAACAATATGGTGTATCAATAGAATTACTTGTCTACAAGTCAAAAGAACCGGATTCTAGTTCCAGCTTAATAGACTTTGCAGGCAATCTGGATTTAAATCCTAGCTCATCCATTTATTGGCCACGTGATCTTTAAAAAGTTGCTTAACATCTTGGTGCTTCAGTTAAATTTGTATATTTCAAATAATAAATCCTATGAGCCCTTTGCACAGAGCAGTCATGGAAGTCAAAACAAAGGATATAAATGTAACCATCATACTAGCAGAGCACTAGTTACATACAAGCAGATTATTGGAAGATCAGTTATGATTAAATGATTTCTAGTACTTTAGAAATAATCTTTTGCTAATTTCCTTTATTTGCAAACTCAGGACAAATGTGTATTAAACTTTGAATTAAAATTCTTTAAAAAAAACAAACCCACATGTGCTATTCTCCTACCATAATAGATTAAAATTCTTTTTTTTTTTTTTTTTACCTGGCAGTTATTCAGCTCTTGAATAACTTCTTTGTTTTCTTTACTAATGTCGCACACACAGATGAATTCTGCTTCTCTGTGGCCTTTAAAAAACTTCTCACGGATTCTCTGTACAACAGCAGTAGCTGAACGGCCAGAGGGAACTGAACAGTTTTCAATATCCCAAAAAACTCCAATGGGGGGTAAGTTTTCCAGCACCTGTCCGGCTAGCGCAACTTCTGGTGACCCTTAGGAAATGTTAACACTTTCAATCACACATAGTGGAAAAAAAAAATTGCAAACTAAAAATAAAATAATAGGTAGCTAGCTATAATTCTTAGTGGCAGAAAAACGAAATTACTGATTGATGTTAAGCTTAAGGATACCAACCTCACCGGCTGACCTAAGAGCACAACTGCAAGTTCCAATAGTATTTCTAAGCGATTATTCCTCTTTTTCAGGAGAGAACAATTCTAAAGGTCAAGTTACTTCAAGCCCACAATAAATCCACTGCAATGCATGAGCCATTCTCATGCTGATCATTATGCTTCTCTGAACACTAACGCGGAGGTAAACAGACACTGCAGCTCTGGGACCTGATTGTCATGCTCTGCCCACGCTTGTCTACCTGCTCGTATGGAAGACCAATGAAGAGGTGACAAAGGGTGAACTTGTTACTGTTCTTGATTAAAAAAAAAAAAAAAATTTAACACTGCATTAACATCTGATCTAATATTTAAAAAAAATGCTTTCAAAAGATAACATCACATTAACTACTTTTGGGGGGAAATGACATTAGGTTTTTTCAATTAGTTTTTCATCAACCATTACAAAATCTTTCTAAATATTAAGTACTTCCATGGAGTGCACAACTAACAGTGTGATTTTGAACCTAAGTTGACAAGGAGTCCCCTCTAGCACTGATTTCTCCTAATATACTCCCTGTTTTTCTATACACAGCTTCTGGTCTCAAACAGCAGCAGCTCAACATAAAAGGCAAATGGCTTGTTGGTCTCTAAGAATAAAAAGATTTTTACCAAGAGGTAGAAATGGAGACTCATTTACCCAGTAGCTTCAGAACCACAAGGAATCTTTTCTTTTCGAGGTGATTAAATGCAGTGTTAGTATCAGATACTGAAAACTACTTAAATATGCACATTTTATACCATACTGTCATTTACCAAATTTCGAAGAAGCTTTGCCTAGACTGGTCGCCAATAACAACGTGGTCTCCTTCCCTGTTCCTTTGGTTCCACAGCCATTACACAGAGGAATAGTAACAGGTGCAGTTTGAGTATTTGGAGGTGGTATATTTGGCCAGACTTTAGCAGCATCAATTATACTATTTCTTGCCGGCTGTTTTAAAAATTTTTTTAAGAAAAGGAGGAGGTTTCAGATACATCATTTCAGAACCTAGAGTTATAAACAACAACTGAAAACACAGTCTAAGTGTTTCTTCTTTCCACCTGTTAACCTCTGATGGAATGTATTTTCAGTATTTCAGGGCATTCCCAGAACCATTAGCTATCAGTTCATAAACTCACTTCAAGAAGTGACTTGAAATGATCTGGGAAGGTAGTCACATGATCATTCTAGGGCATGTGTATCCTCCAAAGGCGACCCCAAATACACTTCACGTGAAGGTAACTGAGATTTTTAACACCGGTGTGACTGAGGCCAAATTCCAAGTCCCTCAAATTACTACAAAGGCACAACATGGCGTGACCTACATTACATGAATGGGTCCACGTATAAGGTGTTAGTTATGAGAAACTGCAATCGTGCTCCAGCCTTTAAAGACAAAACAGAACACGAAGCTTTGCCGAACTCGGTTTACACGTAGGAAACAGCCTGATTACAACAAGAGCCTCTAAAAGCGTAAGCTACATAAATAATGACTCTGCACTTTTTTGAATGGCCCTTCCCCTTTTACCCTTTGCTTCTCTCAGGACCAAGAGAAGCTATGTTGGTGGGGTGAAAGCTACCTCATAGAAGAATCTTCACCCCCGCGCACAAGGAAGATTTTTCAAGAAACATCTATCTACTTTAAGAAAGTCATTCCTCAAAGGTCAGCCGCGCCCAACAGAATAAATAAGAAGATACACACCTTGTTGAGACAGTCTTCGCAGTAAAGTGAGCCCTTTAAACAAACCGGAGGTACCACATTTAGGTGCAAAGAATTGGTGCACAAGTGAGGCGTTAGCTCCGACTGTGAAATGTGCTCTTCCAAATGCCCTGGAGCCCCGCTTGTGAAATCAGAACAGGGGAAATAGCCAGCAGAGGCGCAGCCCTGGAGAGCCGGGAACTGATGCAGCTTGTGCACGTTACCGTGACATGACTGGAAATGAAGCTTCCCACAACAGGGCAGGTGTTTGCAGGAAGGCAGATTACTTTCTAGACACATGCTGGGAAAGTCACTTGCAATGCCGGCCAAACTGTTCCTAGCTGAGGCATTCTGGAGTGCAGACGCAGACTGGAAAGCGAACCCTGACCCTACCTGACACGTGATGGTCCTGGTGCTCTGCGGGTCTAACAGTGCGCCGGGGTGAATCAAGCTACCGGTACCTCCGCTACCACCACCACCACCAAAGTGCATTGGCGACGTGGAGGGTTCATTAGGGCAATGAGCACAGCAGCTTACTTTGGGGACAGGTGAAAGCTGTACTTTAGGTTGCTGAAGAGAATGGGTATCTGGAAGTGGGACTGCTGGAAAAAGTTTAGAGCCAGCATGAAGGGGAGATGGCACATCCTTTAATTCCACAGCAACTTTCTTGTTCTCCATGTAATCTTTCTGGGAAGAGAAGATCAGAACGCCAGTTAATGTCAGGAGGCCAGTGACTTTTGGTGACTCACATCCTACTGCAATCCAAAAATGGAAACAGCGTTCAGTCCTGTTTACCTCACTCAACCATAACCAAACAATATGGAATGGCAGCTGAAACCAGGGGCCTTCTTCAGAGAGGCCTGCAGGAGGTGAACACCAAAACAGACAGCTAAAATCAAGACTGTGTCCTTCCTGAATTTTAGGAGACTGGGGGAGGGTTCTGCTTACATGTTCAGCAAAGCAGGTTAACCATCTGTGCCTCAGGGACTTCCCTTTGATAACTTCCCCTTGCCTCACAGGGTCTTCTAAAGACAAAACAGATGGTATGAAAACAACACAGTCACAAACAGTATTCAATAAAGATGGCTTCTGAGCCAAGCGCTTGGAGGAAAAGACTTAATAGTTCTTGCAGTCAGACCATAAAGGATTTAGGAAGGTCCTCCAGACGATTCCAAACATTAAGGATGAGATAGCCATCTGCCCCAGTGGCCCATCCATGGAGAGGCCTTAAATGTGTTGTTGACATTATTAGGCAAACTCTAGGATATCATGACCTAAAGCCATAATGCCAACAATTACTTTGTAGTCAGGGACAAGAATTAGAGTAAGTAGAAGACTATTTAGGAATAAGATGCCAGAGAAATAGTCTGTCATACGCCTCTAACACAGACACAGGAGGCCGGTATATTTACAAAGTCATAGCATGGCACCCGTGTCAGAGACCTGGGTTTGAATGTGATACTCAGGAACTGTTTTAGGACCTTGGGTAAGTTACATAACCTCTCTACATTTCAGTTTCTCCTACAGTTGTTAGAAGGACAAAAGAGATAGTGCACATAAAGCACTCAGCAGAGTACCTGGCTACTGAAAAGGGGATCTAACTAATCAATAGCCCCTACTGGCTGACTGCAGGAACTATTAAGAGAAAGAGGATGTCCTCATACAATGAGAGAGACATGCTCTTCCCTCAGAGCATAGAAAGGGCCATCTGACTGCTATGATTTCACTCCTTTGGCTGTGGTTCTACACTCATCTAGGAGAGTACACTCATTTAGGAGAAATTTGGATTTTTCACTTGGACATTTCCTAAAAGGGAGGAGATAGCAATTGACTGACTGCCAACAAGCAGTGTGTTCTGCCCTCTTGGTAATTACAGTTTAGGCTGGAAATTACTGGCATCTGATTTATAGAGATCTGGCTCATTCAAAAAAAAAAAAGATCTGGCTCTTATGGTCAGGATTATCATGAGTTGGTTCCCCTGAATTTACTCAATCCTGGGTGCCACTGATAAAATCAGGTTTCTGGATCTGTAAAGTTGAGTGCAATCCTGTACTGTGTGACTCCATAAGGGCCAGATCCTCCATCCCAGGAAGCCCTGTCTGAGCTGCCAACCCTGTTGCCAAGTGCCCCTGAAGTCACTGACCTCAATTACTGATGCCATGCAAAAAAAGGTAACTATATAATGAAAACCTGGAGAAGATTGGGAATTTAGTTGAGTTTTTAAAAAGTTACTAATACCCTTATGTAAATGCATAGTAAAGACTCATTTAAATCCCAAGTGCAGTAGCAAAAGAAAAAAAGACATAGACTAGAAATGTGGTAATATGGTGCATGGAATGAAATCAGAAAAAGTCAAAATCACTATGAAAAGGCAAAGGAAGTTACAGACACGTTTAAATATTCAAGAGAAATCTGGAACAGGAAAAGACTGCCAATAAGGTCCTATCAATCTTCCCTTGATTTTAAGACTCAAACCTCAGAAGGTTAGAGTGAAATAAAATCTATTTTATACTTTCTTCTGATTTGACTCTACAATCTGGATTTTATCTTTGGAATCTGTGACTTTCTTAAGAAACAAATCTTCCCCAAATGTTAACATTAAATATTTAAAGCACCTACAGTTCCTTAGAATAGGAGTGCAGGAGTTAAAAAATGTACACTCTCCTTGAGTTCAGGAATTATAACCATGTGCTATGAGGAAGAATAAGCAGGATACAAGGTAAAACTTAGCACAGACTCCAGGGAGAGAGAGACTGCCCCAGACCAAACAGACAGCACATCTATTTGCATAAGGAATTTGCTACGTCCTCTGTCTTGCGCATAGTTACCGTTTGGGGACTAAGTGGCAACGTCTGCTCAGGACGAGAAAAGCAATTAGAGAATTTCCAAAGCCATGGCTTAGCATCATTATTTTGTTGCAGCCATCCAGGTGTTCTACTGCAGGAGTCCTCAGTTCCGCTTCCTTCCATCATACAGCCATACAAAGTGGTTCAACATTCTTTCATCTTTCTTTTCTTTCATTCTTCCACCCTGTTAAGAATGAGATCTCAAAGTTATTTGCCTAAGTACAAATTTCACTATTAAAATGTGAGACTTGTGGCACCTGGGTGGCTCAGATGGTTAAGTGTCTGCCTTCGGCTCAGGTCATTATCTCAGGGTCCTGGGACTGAGCCCCATGTTGGGCTCCAGATCAGCAGGGAGTCTGCTTCTCCCTCTCCCTCTGCCTCTCCCCTTGCTTGTGTGCGTGCGCGCTCTCTCAAATGAATAAAATCTTAAAAAAAAAAAAAGTGAGACTGCAGGGGCGCCTGGGTGGCTCAGTCGCTTAAGTGTCTGCCTTCGGCTCAGGTCACAGTCTTCAGGTCCTGGGATCAAGAGCTCCAAGTTGGGCTCCCTGCTCAGTGGGGAGCCTGCTTCTCCCTCTCCCCTCCCCCCAGCTTGTGTGTGCACTCCCGTTCTCTCTCAAACAAATTTGTAAAAAAGTGAGACTGCAGCTGTACTTATGGCACAACTATATTTATGGTACAATGGCTCCCAACAAGTCAGATCATAAGGAATAAAAGAAGAATTCTAGCCAAGGGCCAACCTCCTCCAGCCCTGCACAGGCCTCTTCTATAGTTCTTTCTTAATTCTTCTCGACCATCTCTCCCTAAAGACCCTACTGGTGAGGGTAAAAAAGTTAACAAAGAGAGCATGTAGTTTTAGTAAAAGAACAATTACATGTCTTCATTGCCAATTACGTACTGAAATTGACTTAATAGCAACCTATCCCACTGTGTCGTTGATGTGACTGTGGAAGGTCCAAATTAAGTGAACTCTATGGACTCTGTGAATTTGATTCTGCTACAGAACAAATCGAACCAATTTCTTCATTTACTTATTACAAAAGTACAATCTGATATACCACCAAAAATCTGAGAAATCTCAAGTCACAGATGTGCTGTGTCTACTCCAGTGCAACCACATTCTTATAAGTCTTAAACAGTACAATAAAAGCAGATCAAATCAATAAGAGCCAGTGGGCATGGAGGCAGCCTGCCAATGGTAAGGACAACTGAACCTCATTTCCAAGACCTCGCCATCATACCGAACCACCACCTATTCTTACCTACAGTGGCCGTTTTAAGGTTATCAATTTATCAGAAATTTCTCCTGGACATAAAGAAAACAATTTCTTTTAGCTCTCTCTCTGATAAGATGCTCTTCTCAAGAGATTGTAAGATCTACATAGTATGGTGAAGGGAGAGATGAGTACTCAATCTAAAATATAGAACTGATCACAAAAAGCAAGGGCAGGCAAACTATAGCTTGCTAGCCAAAACCAGCCCACTGCTTGTATTTAAGTGACCTTCAACTAAGAAGGTATTTTACACTTTTCAATTCTGGGGCGGGGGGGGCGGAAATCAAAATAATATTTTGTGACACTAAATATATGAAATTCAACTTCTGGTGTCTATAAATAAGAGACATTTGTTTAAATACTGTATGTGGCTATTTATGCACTACAGCTACCTAGTCAAGTATTTGCAACAGAAACTGCATGGCCCACACAGCCTAAAATATTTACTATTTGGCCCTTATGTGGAAGCTACAAAAACTTCATTAAGTTTCAGTTTCTTCGTTTGCAGAGTGTGGCTAATCTCTCCCCCTCCGCAGCATTGCTGGGGGGGGGGGGAATTAGATAAAGGACCCCACCACCCATTTTTGTCTTCCGCAATGTAGAGCTTGTGCCAAGCACAGGGCTTGCAACATAGTGTAAACTAAGTAATTATTTGTTAAATTAAGGAATGAATACAGCAACTATTCACCTACTATGTACAGTTAGGAGTTAGTGTGGAAGCAGAAATGGAGTTAACTGCCACAATGACAATAAATTATGATTGTTGTTTTTCCTACTAAACACAGGTCTTGTATCCCCCCAACAAACTCCTCTCTAGATCACAGAAATCTGGGATATTCACGACAATACACAACTTCAACATGCTCTCTCAAATCTCTTCAAGGCCAATCCTGAAAGGTGCTAACAGGTAGTGTACGATACCAATTACAAAGCCTTTTTATTTAACATTATTTCCTCATTCAGTAATTATTTAATATCTACTACATAACAGGCCTGTGCTTGGCACAAGGGATACAATGATGAAAACAACCAGACAATAAGATTCATTTATGTCATCTTTTCCCCCACAGTAAATCCGACAGACAAGGGAGAAATAAGCCACAATTTTACATAGGAGTAAACAGAAGTTTAATTAAGTTTTGTAACTTGCCAAGATCACATAATTAAAAAGGGGGCAGAGCCAGGCTTATCCACCTCTTTCCACCACACCAAGGTGCCTTCGGTATGGCTCAACACAATCAACAGAAAGTACAAATGTATTAGCTTGTTAGTGGCCTGCACCCAGAAAATTTCCCAAGCATTCCCGGGAATACCACTAAGTAACTTAGGTAGCCAAAGCAAGTTTTCTGTTGATCTGAGTGACATTCTTTGAACAATTCAGATAGTGCTTGAGAGCACAGACTCTGATGTCAGTCTGTGTATTAATCCCCAATTTTGCTGTTTCCTCTATGTGTCGCTATGGAGAGTTCACAACCTCTCTGAACCTCAGATCCTATGTGTGAAATGGGCCTGATAATAACTGTGGCATCCTTATAGGGCTGTTGTTGGGATTTAATGAGACAAAGTATAAAATCTAGAAATGACCTTCTCTTAACACCCAAGTTAGTCGTGGAAACCCACACCACCCAGTCCTTTTACTTTTTTTTTTCATAGTTCTATCCAAAATTGTTTATTTGCTTGATTTTTTTATTATATATCTCCCCTACTTGACTGTAAACTCCATGACAGCAGACATCATGTTTTCTCATTCATTGCTGTATTTCCTGCACCTACCAGTGCCTGGTGCATATCAACAATTGTTGAACGAGTGAAGAGTTCAGTATCTAGGAAGACAGTTTAGGTTTTGATTTCCGTGTATGCAAAACAGCATATTTACCGCTCAGAGAAATGGGGAAGTCCAAAAGATACAAATGTAAATGGAAAGCTCTTGGTAATACCAGAAAGGTGCTTGAGAAACGAAAATGTGTATCACGGTGTAGAGTTACAATTAGTAGTGGGAGTGGCTCATGCCCTAAGGCAACTCAACCCTATCTGTCAAGCCAGAGACTACACCCTAGGGAGTACTAAACTGCCGAGGAGAATGCAAAAACGCTCAGTGGGGTTGAAAAACACCCGCCCCTTTCTTCCTCTCTTAACCTTCCAACTGTGCACAGTACTCCGGAAAGCTTGCTCTCCACGCCTGGAACCCCGACAGGGAGCAGGGGGACAGGTGCGGACGGGGAGCCAAACACCCTCAAAGGGCAGCAGGGGCGCAGCAGTGACAGTCGTGAACGGACCTGAAAGGGAGACAACCCGAACCTATGGTGGGGGCCTGACTGCTGAGTCCCAGTCCTTCCCCTCGGAGTAGCCAACCTCCCCCACCCCCCGCCAGCAAAGGGCAGGGGAAGGGGGGGACGCTGTCCCGCCTCCAGCCGGTGGCCCCAGAGCTGTGAGCCCGTCAGGAACTAGTCCCCAGAGCTGCCAGCCAACTCACCTCAGCCGCGGGCTCCACCTCCGCTCACATTCCGGCCCCGCCGCCTTCCCCCCGCCCCCCCCAAGCCCTTTGTTTTGATTCCCGACTCCGCAGCTCCCGCCGCCGCCGCCAAGCGCACCCTCCACTTCCGCTTCCGCACCGCACCGCCCCTGTCGCAAAACCGACGCCCTTCTCTCCCCCTCGCTCCGCCCCTTCCTCCACCCCGCCCCCGCCGCCGCGTCCTCCCCGCGCGGGGCGTGCTGGGAACCCCGGGGGGGGCGGGGCCTCGCGGCCCTGCAGCCTCGTCAGGCTCAGTCCCCTCCCGATAAACCCCTAAATAGGGACCTTTCCTGGGGGAGACCCCGGCTTTTTTGGCGAAAACCCCGAGTTTAAGGAGGCCTTCTCCCTGGCTTATCGTGGTGGAGTGGAAAGGAACCTGAAAGCGAAGAATGAGTGGGCTTGTGAGGTGGAGCCGGGGGAAAAAAACCTGCCAACCGGGATTTGATACAATTCAGCTCTTTCAGTCTTTTGAGGGAAGGCGATTTAAACGGGATTTCGATTATTTTTTCTAATTAAATGACGCATAATTTCCACAGATCCTTAATCTAGTGCAACCTAGTGGCGAGTGTAGAGAAAAATAACCGCCAGCCGGGCTTCCCGCGAGGTCCTTGGGGCCGGCGGGGTTTCTCTCAAGGTGGCGACCCAGCTGGCACAAAATGAAGTGTGAGCTCAGACTCGGCTGGGCACTGTCACCTACTATTAAGGGATCCTCGTGATTTCAGTTAGAAAACGTCATTTTTTAAAAGCTCTGGTGCAGAGCCCGTTGCAAGTGCATGCAAACTTTCCAGGGACAGGGTGAGGAAAGCCCTATGAATGCTGTGACGGCTTGTGTGTTAGGAGGATGGATGTGACATGGTTGGGGTTTTGGGGGGTTTGAGGGTTGTTTTTTTTTTCCGGGGCGGGGGTTGGTGCTTCACAATCTTTTACCTGAAGTAATTTTTTTTTTTTTTTTAAAGCTCAGCACGACCGTCGTTTCTGAAACTGCTAACTGCTCGCTATTTCCTGTTGCCATTGAGAAAAACGAAACATACCTAAATCGAGACATATTTACGATGGGCTAGCTGAATACGACCTAAAAGTTCACTTCTGAAGTTTGCCGAGAAACATTAATTTTGCAGACGAATAAGTAGAAATCGCGAAGAGTTGTTTTGGTTTTTTTTCCCCCTGCCTGAAGTCTGCAGGGTGAGGCAATTTCATTAGGCAATTTGCATTAAAAGAAAAACTCCTCTAAAGAGAACTTCAGGGGAAGATGATACATCCCTGTAGACATCCTTGTAGACTCCTGTTGCGCAGGGCAAGATCAAACACGTAGCTAAAGCGCCCTTTGTGCTTGCTTTTCATTTTCCAGAAGGCAGATGACAAGCACACACATCATCTGCCTGCTTAGGTATTTATTACTGCTGAGTAAATCTTCATTGTGTGTGTGTGGGTATTATTTTCCAAGTGGGAATTAGAACAGATGAAAAACAACTCTGTGTCTAGTGTTGTGTTTGTTTTTTTTCCCCCAAAGTACCAAACAAATATGCTTCTCTTTAGAGGAGTTTTTCTTTTTATACCAGTTGAGTATCTCTGAACGCACACGGAAGTAACTAAAAAATATAAAAAGGAAACAAAGTAATTGTGGATTTTTTATTGCCTTTTTAAAAAGGTTTTTTGGTTACAAAACAATACAGAACAGACATTTCGTTTGACTTTGCTTGGCATTCTTTCAAGTCCAGAGCTGTGTCTGATCTCAACAGGTTAAATGCAGTAAATAAAGCCGAATCAATTCTACTAAATGGAAAGTTAATGAAAAGTCTGAATTACAAATAATTTTTAATGAAATGCAGTTTTAGTGTTTTCTGTAGAAAACCAGCCTAAGGGGCGCCTGGGTGGCTCAGTCGTTAAGCGTCTGACTTCGGCTCAGGTCATGATCCCAGGGTCCTGGGATCGAGCCCCGCATCAGGCTCCCTGCTCTGCGGGGAGCCTGCTTCTCGCTCTCCCACTCCCCCTGCTTGTGTTCCCTCTCTCGCTGTGTCTCTGTCCAATAAATAAATCTTTAAAAAAAAAAAAAAAGAAAACCAGCCTAAGCAGACTACACCAGTTCTTGGAAGTAATTATGAAGTGAAATGCAATTTGATACTTGTGAAAGAGTGCTTTCACATTTTCTTAAGAGATGCTTTCTTAAATATAGTCTCTGCTAATCTTACTCCTATTTCTTTAGTGGGCAAACTCTTTTATCAGAGAGTAAGAGTAACTTTCAGTTTTTCCCTGTCCAAATTATAATCTTCACATTTATGAAACTAGGATGAAGTTTTATTTTTGTGCTATTTAAGTGTCATTTTACATTCAATTCACCTCCTAAATTAACCTAGTTGTCACTAAAGGAGTTTCTCCCCCAGCAGCTTGTCTTCTGCCTATGTTCAGTTTAGTGTTTTGAAATAATAAATTATAATGGAAGGACGTAAGCAAGAGAAACTGAGCTCTCTGCTAATTCATATCTAAAAGCTACAAGGAAAACACTGAATAAAGGGAGGAAAAGGTTTTAACATGCTCCAGAATTTTCTTTTCATTCTAGGGTTTTACCCAATAACAAAGCCATTTCCTAAACTATTCCTGAGAACTTTCATGATAACCATTTCAATGTCCTCCCGGTTGTCTTTATGGAAAATGAAGGAAATTGGAAACTAGCTAGTTTAAGTGACTTTTAAGTGATCAATGCCATTCAGGCAGGACTGGCTAACTCACTGATTTGTGCTTCAGTTTATCTGTAAACTGGGATGATTACTCCCTGCCCAGAAATCTCACAGAGTGGAGAGTCAAATAAAATTCTGAGGATGAAAGAAAGCATCAGAGGAAAAGTGTTGAGACGAGGGTGTGAATGATTTATTAGTGTTTGTGAGCAGGATGGAAGCTTCCTGAAAGACATTTTGGTACTTAACTCTCTTGATATAGGCAGCGAGTTTCCCTTTTGCGTCTCTGAGCTTCTTTGGCAACTAGGAAGGAGTCAAAACAGTCATTCTTATGACTTTCTCTCATGACAGAGAAAGGTCATTCCTTTTTTTTTTTTTTTAGATTTTATTTATTTATTTGAAGAGAGAGACACAGCGAGAGAGGGAACACAAGCAGGGGGAGTGGCAGAGGGAGAAGCAGGCTTCCCGCCGAGCAGGGAGCCCGATGCGGGGCTCGATGCGGGGCTCGATCCCAGGACGCTGGGATCACGACCTGAGCCGAAGGCAGGCGCTTAACGACTGAGCCACCCAGGCACCCCGAGAAAGGTCATTCTTAACCAAGGCAGGGAGGCAGGGAAGGATTCTAAGAGTATGGCCAGAGGCCTCAAAATAGCTAAAAATCTCTTTGCCTCTAGGGTAGTGCTAAAGAATTCGGGTGTAGGAGTCAAACAGACCCAGGTTTGAAGCCTGGTTTGTTATTACTAATTGGGACTCCTTGGGCAATGCATTTAATTTCCTGCACCTTTGTTTTCTCATCTTTTAAAACGAGGACAATAAAAGTGCTTTTCTGTGATTCTCATCATCTGGATCTGAGCTCCATTGTCACCTCCATCGAGCATCCTTCCCTGATCATCTGAAGTGACCCCTCCCGAACCTTTTCTCTCAAAGGACCTTGTTAATTCTGAAATTATTGCTCACAAGCATCTGAAATCATTTTACTCTGCTTGCTGATTTAGTGTCTTGCTTTCTTAGTAACATAAGCCTTTTGAGGACTGGCATCTTTCTGATATTTGTTGTGTTATAAGTCTGAGTGCTCAATAAATATTTGTTGGTGAACAATTAGGATTGCTGTGAGAATAAGAAAACCCATGTCAAGAAGTTAGCGTTGTCTCTGACACACAACCAATGAACAAATCATGATCACTTAAGAATTGCACAGGTTGTATTTAACTTTGTGCTAGGCACGGTCCTAAACGTTTTACAGACTCCAAGTCGACTCAATTTGTCTCCGCATAGCCCCAAGGTAGAATCAATATCCTCCCGGTTGTCTTTATGGAAAATGAAGGAAATTGGAAACTAGCTAGTGTCCAGGGACCCGCCTGCACACTCCCAAGGCCAGCCAGGTCCCTGCCCAGCAGCGGGAGCCTCCCAGCGCCTAGCCGGCCCAGTGCCGCCGCGTGGCCACGCCGCGCCCGGGCCCTGGGAAAAAAGTTTCCAAACGGCGCTGCTAGGCGCTGATTGGCCGAGGCCGACGCGGTCCCGTGGCGCCGCAGCCAATGGTCGGCGCCCGCCGCGGGCGCGGGGGTGGGGGCGGTGCTCAGAGGCCCGGGCTGCGCCGTCCGCCGCTGCCGCCGCCCGTCCTCGCGGACCGAGCCGTGGTAAGTGCAGAGCTGCGGTGGCCGGGGGTGGGGACCGTCCCGGGACCGCCGCCACCACCGGGAAACTCTTTGGCCCGCCCTGGGGACCGCCAGGAGCCGCCTTGCAGGGACCCTGCCGCGCCCCTCGCTCGCGCGTCCCTTCCCGGCCGCCTGTACTCCGCCGGTCCCGGGCGCTGGGCTCAAAAATCCCGCTCTCTGCAGCCTCCCTTCCTAACTTTGTGCCTTCCCACCCTTGTGTCCTCGCGCCCAGCTCCTCGCCTTTGCCAACTTTCTTTCTCTTCTAGCGCCCTCCGCTCCCTCCATGACTTCCACGTCCTTAGTGCCCTCCTCGTCTCCAGCCCCCGCTGCCTGGCTCCTCTGCCTTCCTGGCTCTCTTGGTCTTTTCTCGCTCTTTTTTCTGCCTCTTCTCAGCCCCCGCCACCCCCTTGCCTCCTGCTGCCCCAGACTCGCCCTCATTCCTCGTATCTCCCTCCCCCCCCGCCCTCGTCCACTGCCCCTTGCCACTTCCACCCTCAGTTCAGGCCTCTTTCCAAAAACCTCCCCCCTGCTTGGCATCTCCGTGCCTTCGGGAACGTGTTTGGAACAGTCTCCTTCCCTCTGCTTTTCTCAGATCTCTGCTGCAGGAAGGTTCAGATTTCCCCTGACAGCACTTTGGGGAAGGGTAGGATAAAGGATGAAAACGCTTATTCTACAGTTTGAATGCAGTGCTGGGACTTACCTGCCTCCCCGAGGTCATGGGAAATCCCGCCATCACCTTGACACCGCTTTTTGGGAAGCTCCTTATCTTCTCCAGTCATCTCAGGTTCTCTGCCTCCTGAGGGCCTGAGCTTCCCCGATTTCTTTGTCCAGGGTTGGTACAAGGTTGTGCCTCTTTCTACTTTTAGCCTCGAGGTCCCTTTTAACTTCCTTTCTAAAGAAACGGCCTTTACAGGGTGCACTGGGCAGAGATTTGTCATTTTCTATGCTAGTTTGGTTTCTGTATTCTTGGGTAGGATGGCATTTTAGGACACGGATAGGGTGCTTTGAAGAGCAATTGGATCCCAGTGACTGACTCCCAGAGCCACTTATCTGACCCCACCACCACACTGGTATTTAACCAGGTTTGAAACTTAAATCTTTACTCTTACTGTGTCTTTTGTGTAGGATTAGATCCTTTAAGTCTCAGGGGCGTCCAATTGGCATATTTTATCCTCTCATTTTGGATAATAGTTTCTTAACTTGGCTTATTCTGTTAGGATGTTATTTTTGTTTCCAAAGTGTGTTCTTTTGCCTTAAAACTTGTGAGCCCAGAGAGATTACACTCCCTTTCCTTACCAGATAATTTCCTAACATGAGTGGGCCTGCATACAGAAAGTTTGTGTCAGCAGCTAGGACTGTTTTTGCACCTAGTACTGATGGAGGTGCTTTCTCTCTGCCTCTCCCAGCACTGCTTTAGCCCTTAGAAGGTGTTTGGAAATGTTTGAGAAGGGTTGGAGGAGAGGGAAATCACAGAAGGAAAAAAAAATCTTTGCCTAGCATCTTTTTTTTTTAAGATTTTATTTATTTATTTGACACAAAGAGCACAAGTGGGGAGAGTGGCAGGCCGAGGGAGAGGGAGAAGCAGGCCCCCCGCTGAGCAGGGAGCCTGATGCCAGGCTCAATCCCAGGATTCTGGGATCATGACCTGAGCCCAAGGCAGACGTTTAACCTACTGAGCCACCCAGGTGCCCGAGAGATACCTTTATAAACAAAATTGGCACCCTTTCTTAACATATCATGAACTTTCTTCTATATTAGCTCATATACTTCTTAACAACTGTGTAATTTTCCAAATCAGTCCTCTGTTGACAGTTAAGTTTCTCCCAATTTTCCACATTGGTGAATGATGGCATACACCCTTGAGTATATGTCCTTGCATGTCTATCTAAGTATTTTTGTAGGAAGATCATTACAGACTTTGAAAGCACAGAGGCAGAAGCCAGACTTGCTGGCTCTTGACTGGTTTTGCCCCAGTGACGCCACTTCTGCAACATGGGGAGCCTGCGTCATAACCGAGAAGCTGTGGAAGCCCATGCAGACATTTGGCGGTGTCTTTCTGTCCCCTCCATTTCCCTTCAGCTCTTCCCTTTGTTTTGATTGGGAAGGATTGAGGTTGGCATGGAGAAGGGTGGTGAGTTAATTCTTGATAGTTTTCCGTGTGTGCTGCTCCTGACCAGCTATGCTGGCTTTCTTCACTCAGAGGAAAGCCAAAGGAGAGTGCTCTGTTTTCCCTAGGGTTTTGAAATCAAAGGTGGGGTGGGAGATCTAAGTGATGCAAAATAGAGAATGCATACTTTTTGAACTTTGTGCTCCCAGCTTGTTCTTCCTTGCCTGCTGTAGCATATACTTTTGAGGTGCCCATTAGGTTTGTCCACAGAGCTCCTGGGGCGCGAGAGCAGAAGCACAGAGGCCGAATGCATATGACACCTGTAGCACAAATGAAAGGCGTGCAGTGCCCATTTTTAAGATCGTGGGTACAGGGGCGCCTGGGTGGCTCAGTCATTAAGTGCCTGCCTTCGGCTCAGGTCATGATCCCAGGGTCCTGGGATCGAGCCCTGCCTCGGGCTCCCTGCTCGGCGGGAAGCCTGCTTCTCCCTCTCCCACTCCCCCTGCTTGTGTTCCCTCTCTCGCTGTGTCTCTCTCTGTCAAATAAATAAAAT